GGTCTCGAACCCACGGGCTCAGGCAATCCACTCATCTCAGCCTCCCAAAGCGTGGGATTACAGGCTGAGCCACCGAGCCCGGCTAAAAATTATATTTTTAGTGACAAGGTCTCACTCTGTTGTCCAGGTTGGTCTTGAACTCCTGGCCTTAAGCAATCCTTTCAAAGTGCTGGGATTACAGGTGTGAGCCACTGCACTTGGCCAATTTCCTTAATAATATATTATTTTTGGTGGGTTGCTTTATTGTAAGAATACAGTATATAACACATATGACAGGCTGAGCATGGTGGCTCATGCCTGCAGCCCTAGCACTTTGGAAAGCCAAGGAGGGAGGACTGCTTGAGCCCAGGAGTTTGAGACCCGCCTGGGAGGGATAGTGAGACCCTATCTCTAAAAGAATAAATAAATAAATAAAAAGTTAAAAAGTAAAAATAGGTCGGGCATGGTGACTCACACCTATAATCCCAGAACTTTGGGAGGTGGAGGCCAGAGGATTGCCTGAGCCCAGGGATTTGAGAACTACTTGGAGAACATGGTGAGACCTCGTCTCTAAAATAAGTGTGATGGCATACACCTGTAGTCCCGGTTGCTCAGGAGGCTCAAGTGGAAGGACCACCTGAGCCCAGCAGGTCAAGGCTGCAGTGACTGTGAGTGTGTCACTGCACTCCAGCCTGAGGGACAGAATGAGACTCCATCTCTAAAAAGAATTGTATGCAGATTTTTCCCTGCATAGGGGGTCAGTACTCCTAATCCCTGTGTTGTTCAAGGGTCAACTGGAACCAGCCTGCTTGGGGCAGGTCTGGTGAAATGAAGCAGAGAATTAGTCATCTCAGAGTGTTTACTGGAAAGATTTACAGAATAGCAGAAAGGAGAATAAAAGCAACCCCAATTCTCAGAAACAGCTGTGCCAGTTCGAAGCGTGGCTTTTCACTTTTCTGCCCATGCCTTTCAACCTACCGAGGGTTTTATTGTCTAAAAAGACTTCACCTTGCTCTTCCCTCATCTACCATTAGATCACAAGACTTTTTCTGCCTCGACACTGGGCACAGATGTTGTTGTTGTTGTTTTTTAGAGACGGCATCTCACTGTGCTGCCCAGGCTGGTCTTGAACCCTTGGTCTCAGGTGATCCTCTCACCTCGGCCTCCTGTGCCTGGAATCACAGCCGTGAGCCATCACACCCGGCCAGATGTTCTTTTTTTTCTTTCGGTTTTTATGGTTTTATTTTATTTTATTTTGAGTTAGAGTCTCACTCTGTCGCCCAGACTAGAGTGCAGTGGCCGCTCCCGGCCACCACAGCATCGACCTGCTGGGCTCCGGCGATCCTTCCGCCTCAGTCTTCCGAGTAGCCGGAATTACAGGCCCGTGCTACCACGCCTGGCTGTTTTTTTTTTTTTGGTTTATTTAGAGATAAGGTCTTGCTGCCCAGGCGGGTCTCGAACCCGCGGGCTCAGGCAGTCCACTCACCTCAGCCTCCCAAAGGCGCGGGATTACAGACAACCACTGAGCCCGGCCTTTATGGTTTCATTTAAACACAGATAAAATGTGCACCTGAGCTGTCTATTCATTTTCTTCGCTGTGCAGCCTGGCATTAGGCTTAGTGACTGATGGCCAGCTGGGCTGCTCTTCCTATAATGGCTTTGTGGTTCTTGGAAGAAACGGTGTGAGCAATCTCAGCACAATACGACTTGCTGCACACCAGCTGCACTGCCAGCCCCTTGACGTTGTGGACCAGGAACTTCCGGGAGGCACTGGGCAGCACGCGTTTTGTTTTCTCGTTGCTCCCGTAACCGATGCTGGGCATCAAGATCTGGCCCTTGAATCTTCTGGGTTTCCGCCAGTTACGCTTAATCTTGACATATCTGTTTGACTGGTGCCAGATGGACTTCTTGGTCCTCTTGGACAATCTTGGGCTTCACCAGAGATCTGAGGACAGCCATGATGCCGGGTAGGAGATGGCTGCCACCTTGGTAGGCAGCGCCGAAGAAGAGGGGGAAAGGTGCAGTGCCCAGATGTTGGGGTTTTTTTTTGAGTCAGAGTTTCACTCTGTCGTCCAGGCTGGAGTGCAGTGGCACGCTCATAGCCACCACAGCCTCGACCTGCTGGGCTCAGGTGATCCTTCTGTCTCAGCCTTCCAAGTAGCTGGAACCAACAGGCATGCACCACCACACCCAGCTAATTTTTTTTTTTTGAGTCAGAGTCTCACTCTGTCACCCAGGTTGGAGTGCAGCAGCATGTACACTCACAGCCACCCCCATATTCACCTACTGGGCTCTGGCAATCCTTCCACCTCAGCACGACCACGCCTGGCTAATTTTGTATTTTATGGTAGAGACGAGGTCTTGCCAAGTTGCTGGGGCTGGTCTTGAACCTGCAGACTCGGGGCAATCCACTCGCCTCGGCCTCCCAAAGTGCTGGGATGACAGGCTGAGCCACCAAGCCCGGGCGGCTTCTCCTTTGTAATAAGGCTGTGCTTTTTGACGTTTTGAAGTCTACCCTTTTGCTCTCACGGAGCTCAGGGTTTAGTGGGGGAGGCAGTTCGTTATTGATCAAATGCGTCATAAGAGACAGGATTCCAAAATGCCGTGAACGTGCACATCCCCGCTTCAAAAAATATACCTTGGGGGTGGGGCTGCCGCGGCCTTTGTGAAGGCAAGGCGCCTTGGAGTTGGCTGGAGCTGCTCTGGGGACCCCAGGAGCCACTGAGCATCCTCTCAGGCCCTCGGTTCCCTTCAGCCCCTCCCTGCTCGCTGCCGGTCTCCTCCCTGCTCAGTGGCAGAGTCTGTGTGTCCCCCTGGGTGGTGACTCCCGTTCTGTCTGTACCTGGGCTGTGGCCACGACTTGCCCCAGGCCGTCTGTGGGCCTGGAGCCTGGCTGGTGGGGGGTGTCTCGCACTGAGAAAGACGCCCAGCAGGAGGAATGTTTTGGAGGGAAGATGCCAGGATCCATCTGCTCAGGCTGTGTCTGAGGGGCCCTGGCAGGAGCACTTGGCTCAGCTTCGGAAGCACACAATGTGCTTCTCAGCCGAACCTGGGCCTCCTCCCTCCTCCCCTCACGGTGAGTGGCACACATCCTGTCGTTCCACCAGACACTGCGGGCTCCTGGCGGCTCACTCTTCCTCCTCCTCCCTGTCTCAGCCCGTTCCCCAGTTCCCTGATTTTACGGCTGCAGGAACTCCCTGATTCTTTTTTTTTTAGTTGGAGTTTCACTCTGTCACCCAGGCTGGAGGGCAGTGGCACGCTCATGGCCACCATAGCCTTGACCTGCTGGGCTCAGGTGATCCAAGTAGCTGGAACTACAGGCACGTGCCACCATGCCTGGCTAAGTTTTTGACTTATTCTAGAGATGAGGTCTCGCCAAGTTGCTCAGGTGGGTCTTGAACCTGTGGACTCAGACAGTCCTCTCACCTCGGCCTCCCAGCGTGCTGGGATAATGGGTGTGAGCCACTGTGCCCGGCCCCCTGATTCTTCCACTGTCCGAATCTCCATGGCTCCCTCCCGGGCCCAGATGCATCCCCCCACCCCCCGGGTCACTGCTGCGGCCTTCCGAACGCTCTGTGCACGTCCACCCTTGCCACCCCTACCCCAGTCCTTTCTCCATGACAGCAGCAGCATTCTCTTTAAAAGGCAGAGTTAGTCATGTCGCTCCCCCTTCTGAAATCCACCCCTGCTGACCGCTCAGTACAGAGCCCAGCATCCTGCCACCGCCCAGAAGCGCCGGTGGGACTTGGCTTCCCACCCGCCTTGCTGACCTCAGCCGCGCCTAAGAAGGCGCATCTCAGGGAGAGCACGCACAAGGGGAGAGAAGGGGCCCGGGCCAAGCCCAGAGGAACCCCTGCATTTAAGGGAGGGCCGAGAAAGAGGAGTCTCCAAGGGCATGAGAGAGGAACGGCCAGTGGAGCAGAGTGGCCAGTGGAGCACTCAGGAATAGAAGAGTGGATGCCCAGAAGCCGGGGTTGACCCCATTTTGAGAGAGACACTCTGGTCAGTTGGGTCTCATGCTGCCGAGATGTCACGAAATCCGAGAACAGAGCGGATTTAGCAACCAGGGGCTGTCAGTGGCCTGGGAGGGTCACTCTGAGGACGAAGTCCGCCTGCCGGAGTCCAGGAGGGCGCTCAAGGCGAGAAAGCAGAGCCGGTGTGGCCAGCGCAAATGGGAGAGGCTGACGTGTACCGAATCTCATCACACCAACGACAGCGACGTCCCTGGGAACGGCACAGCTGCTGAACGAGAGAACAATCCCGAGAATACGTGCGCACGTCCGGGAACTGAGCAAGCTGTGAAGGTTGGCACCACCGGCTGTGTCTGCATTTCCCGTCAAGATCCATTTGCTCTTTAAATGCACAGTTTGCTGCATGTGGGTTTTCTGTGGGACCTACAGTTTGAAGACAATTAAGGGAAGAAAAACCAACATTCTAGACCATTCTACCCATGAGATTTTTTTTAGGGGGGGCTGGCTATGACCAGTGTAACCCCACAATAAGGTTTCCCACCAGCACAGTTTGAGAACTCCTGCCTCTTCTCACAAGCATGCTATTCATTCAGCAAACGGTGAGTCAGCACGGGCTATACACTGAGAATATGGCCGTGAACATCTCACTCCAATATTCAGGCCAGCACAGCTGCATATGCACAAAGTCATTGGCTTGCTGTGCACACCGGAGGCACATTCCCTCCATATCTGTGGTCAGAAGAGTGGTTCTCACCAGCAGGCTGGGTGACAGTAGTGGGGCCTCCTGCCACCTCCTTTTGGGGAACAGAGCCATCTCTGTCCTGGCTCTCTTGTTCGTCCCCTCCTGGAGGACTTCAGTCTGAGCCCCCACGCCCAGCACAGGGCAGGTGGGCCCCTGAAACGTGATCCCATGCCAGCTCCATTTCCCAGATGGGGAGCCCAAGGCTGAGCAGATCCCGTGGCGCAGAGCAGAGGTGGCTGACCTGAGAGTGCCTCATTCCTGTTTGGGGGATAAGTGCCCTTGTATAATGATTAGTCCTGGTGGCCCAGGCACCGGTCACTCATTTACCGACAAGGCCAAAGTCTGGCCCAAAGAGCTGAGGCTGCTTTGGGCTATTCTCAGAAACCTTTGCTTCCCCTTCCTAGGATGGCTCGGCCTGTATGGCTCCTGCCTGTCACGCTGGCCTCGAGAGCCAGGGCTATGACAGAGGTTGCAGACGGCATGCTCCCCAGTGGCAGGCCCGGGCACTACGGGGTGGGCTGCAGACCTGAAGCTCTCCATGTTTGGGGCCCAGAGCTAATCTCCAGGCTCTGGGATCTATACTCTGGTTCTGCCTCCAGCTGGGAACCCCAGGCTCTGCACTCAAAATTCTCAGACCCAGCCAGGCACAGTGGCTCACGCCTGTAATTCCAGCACTTTGGGAGGCTGAGGCGTGAGGATTGCTTGAGCCTAGGAGTTCGAGCCTAGGAGTTCGTTGTACAATATAGCAAGACCCCATCTCTATGTTTTTTTAAAAATGTGTTTTAAGGAATAAAGAAAGAAATTAATTTTCAGGTCTAACCTCTGGGTTTCAGTCTCCTGGCTTTAGCTTTTCACTTAGGATGTCAAGCTTGGGGCTCTGGTTCTAGGTGCTGAGTTCCAGGATCTGGGTCTGGGCTTTGGTCTCCAATTCCAGATTCTGGACTCCAGGTTCTGAGTTCTGGACTCCAGCTCCAGGCTTTGGGCTCTAGGCTCTAACCTCCAGTTCCACACTTCAGGCTCCAGGTTTTTTGTTTTTAAGTCGGGGTCTCACTCTGTTGTCCAGGCTGGAGTGCAGTGGCACCATCATGGCTCACTGCAGCCTTGACCTCCTGGACTCAGGTGATCCTTCCGTCACAGTCTCCTGAGTAGCTGGGACTACTGGAGCACGCCACCATGCCCGGCTTATCTTTTGATTTTTTTTTTGTAGAGACGAGATCTCACTCTATTGTCCAGGCTGGTCTCAAAGGCCTGGACTCAGTCCTCCCACCTTGGCCTCCTAAAGTGCTGGGATTACAGGCATAAGCCACTGCGCCCAGCCTTAGGTTCCAGGTTTTGGTTGGACCTCCAGCTTCCTTCAGTCCGATCCTCTGTCAGCACCCTGGGCTCTCCCTTTGCTTTCTGTCTCTGATCAAACCCCAAGCCAGTTCTCTGGAGACAGGCCTGAGATACTCTCACATCACCCCTCGCCCAGACTCAGCAGTTTTCACAGGGCGCACAGACATATCCACGATCCTGGGCCCCACTGGGACCATCGAGATTTGAGGGGTGCCCCCTGGATTGTGCAGCTCTTGGTCTCAGCCCAGCCTGGACTGTATCTGGCTCAGTGTAACCAACCATGCGTGTTCCTCCCCACCTGAGCCTTTGCTTCTCCATGGAAGCTGAATTCCAGTCTGCACCCCTCAGAAGCTGGGGTCACCTGACCACCAGGCCAGGCCCCCTGCGGGGTGCACCTTGCGCTTGGCCCTGGGGGTGGGGATGGCTGTCTCAGGGAGCGCTGGCCCACCGCTGTGTCAGCACTTCCAGCAGGGGCTCCAGGTGAGTAACCAGCGCCTCCACCTGCCCCCAGCCTGGCCCAGAGCAGAGGTCACTGTGCCCTGTGCTCATGGGTGCTTTTCTTCTACCAGCCCCCTCCCCAGCCCCAGGACTGCTGGTGGAGGCAGGGGTGGGGGGAACCAGACACTAGTGACAAGATTGTCTCTGGAGGGTAGAAGCTACATGAGCTTGGGTCCCCTGGACATCCTCAAAGAAGTCACACCTGCTCTCTTAGCCCGTGTCCTCTGTAAAAGGGGGTGTTGGGGGGATGCAGAGTGGTCAAAAAATACCCATATGTTTCCTCTCTCCCTCCATGCTGTGCGTCGAGTGGACAGGGCCGGCACCCCTCCCCGCTTCCTCTCTGGTGGGGTGGGAAGTAACTCCTCCACCATCCAGGAACCAGCTTGGGACAGTGGCTGTGGACCAGCTGGTGGCCCTCAGCCCTGTGCTAGCTCTGGGGAGGAGGCCGTGGGCCTGGGCCTCTCTCCTTGCCGATGGTGTCTGGTGAGCCATGAGGTGAGGGCCTAGAGCCTTGAAGGATTCTGGGAGCACAGTAACTGGGAGGAAACAGGTTTCCTTCAGCCCAACTCTGCTTCAGGGGGTGTACTGAGGTGGGCGTCACATGGGGGATTACAGCAGAGGGACACACACCCAGCCAGCTAAATAAGCAGAGGACAGCAGTGGGGCTCAAACCCCCAAAGGGAGGATTGGGTTTTTACTGAAAGATGGGATCATGGGAAGCTCTTTGTATTATTGTAATTATTATTATTATTATTATTATTATTTTTTTTTTTTTGAGTTGGAGTCTCACTCTGTCA